CCGTGTGCGGGGCCTGCGGGGGGACTGACTGACCGCGAGGTGTGGGCGGGCTGAGGGGAGAGGCGAGACCCCCCAGAAGGGCTCTCAGGATGATGCCCCGGGGCTGGTCCCGGGCCTGGGGGAGCATGCGGAGTGTTTGCAAGCGGGGTAGTGGCATGATCTTGCCCTTTTTGATCGTGTTTTCAAAGTTAATTGTAGGAAGAGAAAACGTGCAGGTAAGGAAAGATGAAAAATTAATCTTACCTCGCTGATTTTTCACTTCTACTTACTCAATTATATCCATTCAAGTTATATTTTTAGAAATGGCTTTAAAAAACATGTCTCTGGACGGTGGCACGGTGGTTAAAAGAGGTGGGTGGTCCATTGAAAAGGGGGCAGTCTGCCTTCCCTGGAGATTACAGCCGTGCAAACCCTCCGGAGCAGTTGCGGCTTACGGTCCCGATGAGTCAGAATCCACTCACGTGCAATGGAGCTTCGTGTGCCCTTGACTTTTGGTTGCAAGGATCATTCTTTGTCTCACAATGACATTTTCTACGTCAGATTTAAAAGCTGAGGAGCTTACAGTATGGCAGGAACGCGGTTCAAACACCTTGTCATCTTGGGGCAGGATGAAGGGGCTTGGAGCATAAGTTCTGTGAACACACGCTTCTTGCTCCACCAAACAATAAGATTTTCATACCAGGTTATCTTTGCTGTTGTTAAGTGCAAAATGGCATTACTCCTGCGCCCCCCAACCCCCAATGTTTGGTTTACTGAGGATTTGGGTCATTTAGTGCTGCTATAACGGCATAGTGGTTACGTGTTGGGCTGCTAACTGCAAGGTCAGCAGTTTGAAACCACTAGCCACTCCTCAGGAGAAAGATGAGGCTCTCTATGCGCTTTTTTTTTTTTTCAATTAGCAATAATCGCGCCTCGGGTACACCTCATTGGCTACGATATTGCCACTGCACAAAGCTTCTCTATGCTCTTTTATAAAGAGTTACAGTCTTGGGAACTCACAGGGGCAGTTCTACCCAGTCCTGTAGGGTTGCTATGGGTCTGCAATGAGTTTTTGGAGTTTATATTATTAACAGAATTACCACGAGAGACTGGCTTTACTACACTTATCTTCTCACAGTGTCGGGAGCGAGAGAAGCTGGAATCCAGGGCCCTGGCTGGCGAAGGGAAGTTTGTCTCTGTCTCTTCAGCATGTCCTTCCTGGTTCCTTGGAGACTTTGTGTTTTGCCATCTATTCTCATCTCTGTTCACCCCCCACACCCTGCACTAATCTGGTTGTTTCAGTAACAGGACAAAGACAACCTATTCCCAAATGGGTTTATAGCCACGGGAATAGAGAATTAAAATGCAACCATTTTAATTGATTGTATTTGTCATAGAGAGTGGTTGGGTGTGTCTGTGGTCCTTGCTCAAGATGCCAGCCCTAGTCACTGCACACTGTCTTCAGACTTACTGATCCAGTCACCCAGCCCAACTTGGAATCTCCCCCCTCCACCCCAGAGTCCCTAGTGCTCCCGGTCGATTTCAGTGACCACATGTCACCTCAGCCTGCAGCGGGCCAGTCTCTCGGGTCCTGGACTACTAGTAATTGTGTCATGACAGACACCTTATTTTCACTTAGCCTCCTGATAAGCAGTCTCCTGTCTTCAGTGCTCATTGCTTCAGCTGCTCCCTCTCAAACAGAACCCACTGCCAGCAAGTTCTGACCCTCTACTTGCCCAGTGATCCTGCCCCGGCCTTCTTTCAACCTCACCTCCCCCCCACCCCCAACACATACACCCCCGCTGGCTCCATCTCTGCTTTCAACTGCTGCTGGAGAAACACACACAGCAGTGTATTTTTCTGGGATTTCTGTCTCTATACTTTTCATTTGTGATTTTGAAAATTTTCCCCCTAGTGCTATTTTCCTCAGGTTACCACCTCAGTGTTTTTTGTTTTGGGTTATTGGAGGTTTAGGTACCAGAATTACTCTGAAGGCTTGAGAGAGTCAAATGGGGATAATTCAGCCACTTACTCTTTTGCTTCAATGGACAGCGGCAAGAATGACTTTTT